TAAGGGAGCTTCTGAAAACCTTTTTTCAATGCCCCATCTTAGACTTATTGAATGGGTGGGTCACCAATGTGCCGAGCACAGAACAGTAAGACTGTAGCACTGAATCAACTTGCCCAACCACAATAAACACAGATGTATCAAAGTGTCGCCAGGTACAAACTCATTTCAGTTGTATTTCATGAACCAGACCACTTACATACATGAGTTAGCTTTCTACAAGAATAGCCACACAATAATATATTCAAGAAAGTGTCTAGCAAACTCTTATATATGTGCCATTGAGTAACTGCAAATGAGTTTTGCAATATGGTCTAAACCTCTGAACAGAAACTGTCATGATGTTTAGACTGGCGTGCTTCTCACTTTTAAAAATGTAACACGCTTCAGATCCTCAAGATCTCAGCTACCATTACTCTTGTACTCGTCCAAGTTCACGTTAAGAAATTCCTCAACTCTTTTTACAGGCGAAACAGCTGCATCTACCTGTCAGCCCTACTAAGTCAGTGATCAGGACACTTGCCAGATTCCAACATTTTCAACTGCCAGTGTATGAAATAACCGCTTTAGTATCTGTACAATGTGGGCAGAGAACACATACCTTACAGCATTATAAAGAGAGATATGGATTTAAATGATACTAAAAGCCCGTTGGGAAAAAAGCATGTTCTAGACAGTAGCCTGGGTTTACCCTGTTCTAATTGCCTTGATGCTGCCTGCAGCAGGCCATTCTTCACAAGCATTTACATGTCTGCCACTTCCATGTCAAGATAATAAATTCCTCCACTGTCTGAGGTTGTCTTGTTCGAAGCTTCCTGTCAGAATCGCAGCAGCTAGCACAGCACGGATTCATAAATGATGGCCCTGTGAGTGATCTGCCAATGTCTGCAGTAAGAAGCAGAGCTGAGCGATAGCAGGGACCCCTGCCTGCAGGATCAGATTTCTATCCATCAACTCACCCCGCCTCCCACTCTTCTGAGGCTTATCTCCACAAAGCTGAAACTTTCTAAAACATCATTCCTTGTCTTTACCCCATTTCATCTATCCTTTTGTGTATGTGTGATGTGCATACATGTGTGATATGTGGTCACATAAGTACATGTATGTTCACATGGAAACCAGAGGCTTACATCCAGCTATCTTCCTGGATTTCTCTCCGCTTCACTTACTGAGGCAGGGTCTCTCACTGGACCCAGAGCTGGCTGATCTGGCTACTCCAGCTGCCAGCCTGGCCCAGGAACTCCTCGTCTCTACCTGTGGAGAGCTGTGTTTACAGGGGTTACGCCATGACCTTCTGTGTGGTTCTGGGGACTGGACTCCGATCCCCATGCTTGCACCACAAACCCTTTATCCACTGGGTTCTCCTCCCAGCTCCTACCTCACCTCCCTTTATAACCCTTTCTATTGCTTAGTTTCTACCATCACTCTAGAAGACGAGGGGTGAAGGACCGGAAATGTTTTGACTTAACAGGAGGAAACAGCTAACAGTTACTAGGAGGCACGATTCTATGGGCCACAGTCCCTTGGTCAAAAAGAATTCGAAGTTGTGAGAGGCACCACAGTCACAGTGGAGCAGGAATGAGACCCCTGATGGTAAACGGGCCAGACATGAGAAAATGTATTTGCTATCTTCTAATAGGTCAGTCATCAAGCAGGAATCACAGGACAATACTCAGACCAAGGCTTCTCTGAGATCACGTGGCTTAAACAGTGAACTCTCTGCTATGGGAAGCTTGGATTAAATCAAGCCTTTGTTTTCTTCTCATCCAACCAGTCTGCAACACTTTTAAGATGTTAATTGAAAGTGTTAGAAGTTTCTCAAAAGAAGACATACGGATGGCCAACAGACACAAAAAAAATATGCTCAAAACCACTCACCAGAGGTGTGTAAATTAGAGCTCCAATGAGATACTACCTCATGCCAGCCCGAACAGCTGCTATCCAAAAGAACAAAGGTAACAAGCGTTGGCAAGGATTGGGGGACAGTGAGTCCTCATGTATTGCTGGGAGCAATGTAAGCTATCCCAGCCCATGAGGAACAGCATGAAAGTTCCTCAAAAAGTTAAAAATAGGCCTGCATTCTTTGTGACAATGCTGATGACCTGGGTTTGATTCCTGGAACCCACATAGTGGAAAGAGAAAAGCACATGCAAGCGCATCCGCACTCTCACACATTATCAATGTAAAAATACAATGAAAATGGAAGCACCGTATGACCCAGCAATCTCAGTCTTGGCATACATCCGAGGAGGGGAAGTGAGTGCCTGAAGAAACTGTTGTCCTCCCATCTGTATTTGCAACACTATTCACAACAGCCTGGAAGTGTGGACAGCCTAGGGGTCAATCAGCTGATAAGTGGATAAAGAAAATGTGATCCAAATACACAACTGAATAGTGTTGAACAATAAAAAAAAATTGCTAGCCAGTTGTCTGAGTCAATACGGGTGAACTAGAAAGCCTTACGTAAGTGAACAAAGCCAGGCAAGGGCAAATACCACATGATCTCATCCATATTTGAAATCAAACCCGGATCTCACAGGAGTCAAGAGTAGACAAGTGGCTACCAGAGGCTGGGTGGAGAGCAAGAGGGGCAGAAGTTGATCAATGTACAAAGTTAATAAAGAGGAATAAGAAGTTCTGATGTGCTATTGCATATCAGGGTGACTATCAGGATATTCAACCTTTTAACAGTGAGATAGGATATTGTCACCTCAAATGTACTGGGTCCCATTCATAGCTATCCTGGGACACATGTGACCACAGGCTGCAGTTTGGAAATGCCTGCTAGATAATGATGATGTACTGTGTGGTTCAATGAACCAAGAGAATTTTCAATGTTCTTACCATAAAGAAATGACAAATATTTGAGTAGAAAGATGTTTACCCAGAACTAAACATTACACAGTGCAGACATGTATTGAAACGCTAAATTCATTTAATTTTTACATTTTTATGTATTAGATAAAAAATAAATTTAAGTTTAAAATGTCAACCTGGGGCTGAGGAGATAACTCAGTTGGTAAAGTGCTTGCCTCACTGCCATGGGGGCCCAAATTTGATCCCCAGAAACCACAGAAAATGTCAGGCATGGTTGGTACACATTTGTAGGCCAGTACTGGGGAGGGGAGACAGGAAGACCCCTGGGGCTCACTGCCCAGCCGGCCTCATTTAATTGATGAGGTCCAGGCCGATGACAGCTGCTGCCTTGGTGGAGACAGGCAGCATTTCTGAGGATGCTACCTGAGTTTATCCTCTGTCTATGTGCACAACCCACATCCACATGAATACACATAAATACACATGTGCAGCTTTCACACACACACACACACACACACACACACACACACACACACACACACTCTTATATTAAAGGAAAAAAATAAAGAATAAATGTAAACAAATTCACATCTTTAGTCTAAAGCAAGTCATACAAAAAACCTTTCAGTTGGCTTTAAAAAAAATTAAGTACCAAATGACAAATTCCCGGCCACTTAAACTGTGTACAATGAATCATTTTCAGCAGAGCCAGATCTCCCAAAACTTGTGAAGAAAGACATAACGTAGCCACTTATTTATCTACTTGTTCTTTTACTAGTCCCTGCATTTAGTGCACATGGTCATAATCCTAACACACAGGAGCAAAGGCAGGAGGGTCATGAGTTTAAAGACAACCTGGTTCCGGGCCAGCAGAGCTACATGGAGAGACTGTTGCAAAACCAAAATTACTGAGTTTATTCATGTTGGGTATGCTACTGTAAGGAACAGCCTCGGCTTGAGGACACATATCCTGAGCAGCAGGCCTTTCACAACCTTAATGGCTGGGAACTATGCTCACCATTCCTGATTTTTAAGCAAGTTAACTACAGGCTACTTACCCTACTGTCTCTGTATATATCGAACACAACTGCAAAGAAGAAAAAGCTCAGTTACTAATAAACTAATACTTTTATAATTAATATCTCTTTTTGAAAACTCAAGTACGCTTTATTACTAACACAGCAGATCATTAGCCTTGAATACTTCATACTTCTAAATCTCCAAACTCAGTCAGTAATGGTGGCCCATGCTCCTTAGCACTGGGGAACTACGGCAGGAGGATTGCTGCAAGGGAAGGGTCAGCTTGGACCAGTGGTATCCAGGCCAGTGGACTACAGTGTGAGACTCTGCCCCAAAACCACACCATTCACTGACTCACTGATGAATAAAATTCCAGACATAAAAGCACCCTGGACTGTGTTCCTTGTGTGACTGCCTCCTCCTTCTCTGCAAACGAACGCCAACATCATCTGAACCAGCTGCTTACATGGGCAGAGGAAGCTATCACCAGAGAAATACTAATAAAAGGAACATCCATCACTTATCTGAGGCGTGAAATGAGTAAAAATTTGTCATAAGAAAGCACAAAATGTAATTATGAGACAGCACAATTCATCTTCTTTTTTAATTAAATCTGCTATGGAACCCAGTCGTGGCAAGTAGAAAAGGCATAAATCATAGGTCTAATTCTAGGTTATTCAAAAAACTCTCTTAACATACCACAAATTTTCAGTTCCTCAAAACAACCCAGCTGTTTGCTCTGCAGTCACTGCTGTCTTTGATTACACAGACAGAAAGTAAAAGGAGAAGCAGCACTCTGCTCTCCACACAGATCCTGTGAAACGCACAAACATCTCCAAGCACGGAGAGAGAACTGCCTTGAAATCAAATAACATTATCTAATTAAATGAGCTGAAATGGACACAAATCATCAGGGATAACAACTGGTAATATAGTAACACGCTAAAAGCACGGACCTTTGAGCTGAGTGTTAAAGATGGACCATAGTGAGTGAGGCTCAGTAAGCAGTCTCACATGACTGCACAGACAGAGAATACTCACAGTCTTCATCTAAGAATTTATACTGTATGTGTTTCTTGAAAAAGTCTTGAATGCATCTGCAGATTTCTTCTTTTTGTTTAGAAATATGGTCATAGTATTGCGTGTAGTCCCTCTGAGAAATACCTGACAAGAAAACAATCCACGGCTGTTAGCAGACAGTACTCCTAAAGTGCCAACACGTAATTCAAAGTAGTAATCAAAGTCGTTAAAGATGTCCAAAGACCAAGCAGGTGAGCCCTGCAGCACAAGGACTCAACTACAAAGGTCACGTGGACAAGTAAATCTTAAGCTCCATACTGCCATGCATTCTTAATTTTGAAAGTAGTTTTTTATTTAGCAGAATGGAAAGAATTCAGTTACAAAAAGGCTTGCTGACTAAAACATGCAAGTGACAATTCTAAACCTGTGTGTATATGCTTTTATTTTCCGAAGACCGTCTCTTCAAATTGAGATCCTCTTCCACTGTGGGAAGGGTAAAACAGCCCTCTCACACACCTGTCATGTGCAGTGTGGGAGGGGTAAAATAGTCCTCTCACACACCTGTCATGCGCATGCTGTATTTATAAAGCAGTCTACTTTTCCTGTTTTGGGGAAGCTATCTGTCTTCAGAGGCTGATCTTTCAAGCTACAGAAAATCAAACATTCCTTTTTTAAAAAAGTGATTTCCAAATATACTGAAGGGGATGTTGTATGAAGCCCTCAATATATTTAAGTCCTAGGGAAAAGGTTTCTGCTGTAAAGAAAGGCTTCTAATTCCTTAGCCACACACTCAGGTCTCTCTCTTCAGCATACTTAAACTAAGGAGTATCTACAGTCAACTGCCTACATTTATTTCAGTTCGGGAAATGAATGCCAATGTCACATTCAATGAACAGTGGCGAGCATTCAGTTACTCTTTGTCCCCTTTGTTAACAAACTTTATAGAAAACATACGTTAGCTGATGAGAACAAATGCAGAGACCCACAGCCAAACACTAGGCAGAGCTCGGGGAACCCTGCAGATGAGGGGGAGGAAGGACTGTAGGAGCCAAAGGGGTCAAGGACACCACAAGGAAATGGTCCACAGAACCAACTAACCAGGGCTCACAGGGGCTCACAGAGACTGAACCAACCACCAGGGAGCCTGCATGAGACTGACTTAGGCCCTCTGTATATGTTACAGTTGCACAGCTTGGTCTTCTTGCGGAACTCCAACTGTGGGAGCAGGGGTTGTCTCTGAGTCTTTTATCAGCTTTTGGGACCCTACTCCTCATACTAAGTTGCCTTGCCCAGCCTTAGTACAAAGGGAGGTGCCTAGTCTTACTACAACTTGATATGCCATGTTTAGCTGATATCTATGGGAGGCCCGCCTTTTTCTAAGCAGAAATGGAGGAGTGGTTTGGGGCGAGGGTAGTAGGGAGGACTGAAGAGGAGAGGACGGAGGGGAAACTGCAGTTGGGATGCAAAATAATAATAAAAATCACCAAAAAATGCACTGGAAAAATTTTAAAAGAACAAATTATCTTCAGCATTTAGCCTGAATAAGTGATAGCTAACAAAACAAGCAATGCACTTGTTTGTTGAATATATTTTCTTTTGCTCATGTAATAAATAGTGCCCTAATAACAAAACAAAGATTGTAGGGGACATCTTAGGACTCCCTGTAGCTTCAACTCCAGGCAGATTCTGTAGTAGAATATCATTTTAAGGTGTATTACTTTTGCTTATGTTGCATTTGTTTAGCTCTGTAAAGCTGTGTTACTGTGCCTATCTAAAACACCTGATGGTCTAATAAAGAACTGGCCAATAGCAAGGCAAAAGAAAGGATAGGAGGGGCTGGCAGGCAGAGTGTATATATAGAAGGAGAAAACTGGGAGGAGAGACCTGATCTAGGAGCCAGAGACAGAGGAGGACTCCAGGGCCCAGCCACACAGCTACACAGCAAGCCATGGAATAAGAGTAAGATTTACAGAAGAGAAAAGCCCAGAGGCAAAAGGTAGACAGGATGATTTAAGATAAGAAAAGCTGGCTAGAAACTAAGCCAAGCTAAGGCTGGGCATTTATAGTTAAGTATAAGCCTCCGTGTGTGATTTATATGGGAGCTGGGTGGCAGGCCCCACAAAAGAGTGCACGATCCAAAAAATACCAACAATAAGAATCAACACGTCTGAACTCTATGGGTATCTGCACTATGTATACATACCCTCCACACAGAAACACACATACACATAACTAAATAAAATAAATCTTTAAAAAAAAGAAAAGATTGTTAAAACTTGGCTAAAATGTTTATAACAAGCACTTTATTGCTAGTAATACAAAACTTTCTTTCTTTTTCTTTCTTTCTTTCTTTCTTTTTTTTTTTCCTTTTGGTTTTTTGAGATGCCTGTCCTGGATCTCACTCTGTAGACCAGGCTGGCCTTCAACTCACAGAGATTCTCCTGGCTCTGCCTCACAAGTGCTTGGATTAAAGGTGTGTGCCACCCAGCAGTAATACAAAACTTTCTAACAGCAAGTAGGTAATATTACAGATATTGTGTGTTGAGCATAGTTAATAGCTGTGCCCTCCAACTCTAGAGTCCAGACAAGACTAACAGTGATATCTTCCTGTGTGGAAATTGAACATATACCCAGGAACCTTAGTAACACAGAGCTCAAGACTCAATACCAAACAGAGGCAGCAGCTGGCAGCAAAACTGACCATTACCCTGGTCACTGAAGTTATTCCCTTCAAAAGCTTGCCTTCTTTCCTTTGGTTATTTTATTTTTTTAATGAAACATGATAATTGTACATATTTATGAAACAGTATGACATTGTGATATGATAAAAATAATATTAATATATTCACACAATGAAATACAATTCAACCATAAAAGAACAAAATTCTAAAATTTACATCATAGTTCTCTTCCTCTTTTTCAAAAAACAAAAATATTTATCATTGATTTGTTTAACGTGTGTGTGTGTGTGTGTGTGTGTGTGTGTGTGTGTGTGTGCCTGCTCATGCACGTGTGAACACACACCTGTGAGCAGACAAGTCCGTGTGGTAGTCAAAGAACAACCTATGGGAACTAGTTCTCTCCTTCCACCACGTAGGCTCCAGAACTGAGCTCAGGTCACCAGACTTGGTGACCTGTACCCACTGAGCCACCTCACCAGCCGTCTTCTTTTGAAGATTACTTTGGAACTAGGGCTAAAACAGAGCACTTGCCTAGCATATACCAGGATCTGGGTTTGATTTCTGGAAACATGCACACATTAAAGATCACCTTCAAGGATGAAAAGAACTCACCAATAAGCTTGTTTTCCTTGACAAAACATCGGAATTCAGCCCCAGGAATTAATTCACACCATTTTCGGAGGACAAGCTGTAGATAAAAAGAATAAATATAACAGAGGTCTACAAGAAGACTCTTTCACATCAAGACCTTATTATGATTGCCATAAAAGTGGTTTTGAGAAAATGAGGCCACTCAAGACAGGAGATGTGACAGGAGATGCAGGCAACAGAGCTGTGACCATTACTCTAACAAGGAAGATTTGTTCTGAAACACTTTAGGACAAAATGCATCTTGTCAAAATTGTGTGTATATTGTGCACCTCTTAAAGAGTATCAAAAAAATAAATAATTTTAGCACTGAGGCCCTGTGTTCCATTGAAAAACAGCACAGTGTTTTTCAAAGCTTTAAGATGGTGTATGAACTACTTTGGAAGAGTCTCAGTCTCCCTCCTCTTCCTCCACCCTTCTTCTCTCCTACAAGAAAGGGAAGGACCAAAATGTTACCAATGAGGACATAAGTAGGTAGTGTTTCCTCAATTTTTCTGGTATTTAAACTTCCTGGTAATAACTTCCTCTTCTTAAAGAAAAGTAAGTTCTTTTATTAAATGTCTTAAGACTCCAAAATGCATTGAGTCCATCATTTATTATTGTGAGCTCTGGGTTGAGCCTTGCAAATGTGGTATTTTAAGGAAAGATGGTTCGGCAGTTAAGAGTACTTGTTACTCTTGCAGAGAACTTAGGTTCAGTTCCCAGCAGCTACATGGAAGTCCACAACCTCCCATAGCCCCAGTCCTAGAGGATCCAATGCCCTCTTCTAACCTCCATGGGCACCAAGAACACATATGATACATATATGATGGTACATATGTATACATGATACATATATGTTGGTATAAAAGAAAATGAACAAATTAAATTTAAAAAAACAAAAACAAAACCTGTGAACCTCAAACTAAAATACTATACATCCTTATGAATTAAAAGTTGATCTTGGGATAGGGTGTATGCAATATGGCTATGGAAATTTTATTTAGCAACAAATAAGCAACTGTAGCACACTAACAGCAACAAATAACACACACACAGTAGTTGATTTCTAAAGCACAAAGGATAAAGCCTTTCTCCTTGCCTAATCTTTCTGCTGTCCTCAGAAGCAACCAGAGCTTTCTGGTTCTTATTTGTCTTTCTAGAAGTAGTCCAGGAATACATAAGTATATAGCATATGGAAACACTTTTAAAAATACAGACAGAGGCATATGCTACACGGCATTCTGCTTGCAACATTTTTCACTTTAATTACTTGAGGAATATCACTTCCCTAGCCTTAACTTTCATATCTTACCATGATGCTGCTGTATCAAAACAAAAGCAATACAACAGCAAAGGACTGGTAAGTAGATCTTAGCTTTAAATGACGACATTTCAACGAGTATTATACCTCAGTGAAAGACGGTTCTTATGCAGCTAGCACCAAGTGCCAACACAGAGCAGGTGCATCACAGGAAGTTGTTCAGCAAAGCAGGAGGTGTAAATATGTAATATGCATACAAATAATGCTATAAAAGATTGGATGATGGCATGGGTAAAATACACTGTGGAAATCAGTGGTGGAAAAGCTCACATTTGCATGTAAAGATCCCAGGAACGGACACTATTAACTGTTTAGTGGCCTATGATAAATTCAATGTTCTACAATAATCAGTATAGCTATTCAACACAAAGAATATTCAATACAGTGAGTATCAGTGGACAATATTTTTTCTTTGTAATGCTGAGGACAAACCCAGGGCCTAAAGCATGGCACACAAAGTAGGTTGCATCCCCAGTCTGTAGACAAAAACGTGTATTATACAGAGATGTCTAGAAGCAAATAATAAAGAAAAAAAATTAATCATGGCACTAATTCTAAGATATTATAAAACCAAATATGAAAATGTTCTGCAATTAACAAGCAAAGGTGATCACACTTGCTTCAAATTTTTCAGAAACTGTGTTTTAATGATGCAAATTCAAAACCAATCCAGAATAATTACAAGTGATAGCCTACTATGTAGCATCTAAAGGATAAGAAAACTCCAGATTTAATTAATTAGTTAAGAAATTAGCTGTATTTAACAACAGTACCCATTTGAATATTTGTATGTACATTTTCAAGAACTGGAATAAAGCCTGGAGTTTGCAATGACTACAGTCTCTACTAAAGCAGCATCACTGCCCTCCACTCTTCTCATGTTCTCTGTAAAATGAGGGAATGATGTAAAGAGGCAGAGGGAGGAGGATGACTTTCCTGTTAGCGTAGTTTGGACCCTACTTTCAGGGCTTGATCTCCCTTCAGCTTGTGGTGCTGTTCTGAAGCTATGGATGAGCTGGTAGGTGGTGGCCCTGGCTAGCAGACACAGGTTACAGTACGGTGCAGGCTCTGAACCAGATTTGGTGGGTGAAAAGTACAAAAGCATTTATTTTACTCAAGAATGTGTATATTCTCTGTGTACAGTATTCTATATTCTGTACATATATTCTAATATATAGCCTATAAATAGTACATACTCATTTTCTTTCTGTGGTGGCTTGAATAAGATTTGAAAGCTTGGACACAAGGGAGTGGCTCTATTAGGAGGTGTGGCCTTGTTGGAGAAAGTGTGTCACTGGGGGTGGGCTTTGAGGTTTCAAATGCTCAAGGCAGGCCCAGAGTCTCTCTTCCTGTTGCCTGCCAATCTGGATGTAGAACTCTCAGCCACCTCTCCAGCATCTGTCTGCCTGTGTGCCACCATGTTTCCCACCTTGACAATGGACTAAAACTCAAACTGTAAGTAAGCACTAATTAAATGTTTTCTTTTATAAGAGTTGGCCATGGTCATGGTGTTTTTTACAGCAACAGAACATTGACTAAGCCTCTCTCTTTCCTTCTCTTGTTTGTTTGAGATAGGGTCTCACTGTGTGGCCTTGACTAGCCTGAAAATTGCTTTGTAGACCAGGATGGCCTTGAACTCAGTGATCTCCCTCCCTCTGCTGGGATTAAAGATATGTACCACCATGCCCCACCTGAATAATACATTTCTTCTACATGTAGGACAAATTTCTTAAATTTAAATATTTAGTATTTCTATGTTCCCAGAGAAGTTAGTTCAATTATTTTTTTTCATTCACAAATAAGCAGCACTATTCCATGACCTATGACTGGGACTCTTGGTGTCATAAAAGGGGAAGAGATGCTTACCTCATATTCTATACAAGGATCTGGAGAATCATCAGTACAATGAATGAACCTTTGGAGAGAAAAACGCAACTGAGTATTTTTTTAAATTAATGTGAGGATCAGATTTCATAGAAATATCCAGAAACAAGGGACTAATGCAAATTCAGCCAACACTTATTAAGCATTACTTGGTGTTATACACTATGTTATCTCATTTAATCCTCAAAACAGCACGAGAACCTCATATACATATAATCTCCATTTTTCTATTAATGGGCAAAGAAACTAAAATTCAAGTGTCCAAGCTTTATAAGTAAGTTAGGACTATATACAACACAGGCTGCCCAGCTTCTCAGTGAAGGTAGGATGCCACTGTCCGCACTCTCAGTGTTGGTCCAGCTGCTAAGTTACCAGGCTGTATACTGTTCTATGACCACGAGCTCTGCCACTGAGAGCCACACAGTGACCACACTCCTTCTTCAATGGAGGTAGGATGACATGCCATTATCTACCTTAGTGCTCACTCTGTGGATGAGTCAGCATGCTGACTATTGCTCCATGAACATTAGCTTGGCCACTGAAAGCCACACACAGTGGCTGTCATTTCAAAATTGTTTGAGAGAACAATTCCACCCTCCACTTCGCACTCCCCTCTAAGTGTTGTTTCATGAACAATAACATACAGGAGTATAAAAACACCCATCTGTGCCGAGCACTGGGCCAGGCACCAGAAGCACAAAAACACCTAGGACTCTGATGTCCTTTAGGAGGTGTAACAGAGAAAGCTAGCAAGTGCACGGATAACTTCGGAACACTGGGTGAATAAACTAAAATACTCTGACATCACAAATGAAGAACCAGCTGGCTGGCTGTCATGTGAGGAAAGGAGAGGAGGAAGTCGAAAAGGAGTTTGTGTGAAAGGCAAAGGGAAAAGTGTCCAGGAGGAAGAGGAGGACGAAGGCAAAGAGTACATGCGATCAGCACTGGTGGGGTCAGAACACAGGGGACGTGCCAGTGATAAGACGCATGAAAATCTGGATGGAGGGCTGCTTAGATTTTTTTTCACTTTGACACAGACTAAAGTCACCTGAGAAGAAGGAACCATATTGAGGAACTACCTCCATCAGATTGGCCTGTGGACAAGTGGGGGGGGCATTTGTTTTCTATTGATGGCTGATATGGGAGGGCCCAGTCCACTGTAGACAGTGATACTCCTGGGCAGGTGGTCCTGAGTTGTATAAGGAAGCAAGCTGAGCAAGCCATGGGGAGCAAGTCAGTAAGCAGCACACACACACACACACACACACGCACACGCACACGCACACGCACACGCACACGCACACGCACACGCACACGCACACGCACACCCGCCCCTCCATGATCTCTGCTTTAGTTCCTGCCTCAGCTTCCCTTGATAAAAACTGTAAACAGTAAGAAGATAAATGAATCCTTTGCTCCCCAAGTTGCTTTGGGTCTGTGTTTTGTTTCACAGCAAAAGAGAAGGAAGCTAAGACAAGGAGAAAATCCAGACGATGCAGCCCTGGGGTGATGGCGGGGACTATAAGGGAGATCGTTACACTTCAGTGCATTAAAACTGCCAGGATGGCCCCATGTTTGAGGTGGTGTGGGGGAAAGACTGGCAATGTGAGGCAGACAGTGAGAAGGCTTACTAAAATGGTCTCAGGAAGTGATGGGAGGCTAAGTGAGGCAACCGGAGGGGTGAGGGAGAAGAAAAAGCACCATACAAAGCCATTGAGAAGGCCAAGTCACTCTAACTTAGCGAGGGATTAAAAAGGAAGGGATGGGGCTGGAGAGACGGCTCAATGGTTAAGAACACATACTGCTCTTGCAGAGGACCCGAGTTCAATTCTTAGAACCCACAGTTCACAACTGCTAGTAACTCCAGCTCCAGGGGATACATGCACATATACAGGCATACACACATGTAGACGTACATAAATAATAATATTTTTTTATAAAAAGGAATGACAGAGTGACGGGGATGACTCTGGGATCCACTGGCTAGCACAGGAGGAAAGCAGGTGGTGACAGGGAGGACAGGGCAGACTGTTGGAGCAGGGAGAGCTGGAGACTGGGAAGCCAGAGAGAAGCTGAGCAAGCCACTAAGATGAGGAGATCCCAGAGAGGGGGGAAAGACAAAGGGATCTAAGAGCTGAGCCAAGGAAGGAAAGCTGGCAGATGACAGGATCCTGGAAACAGCAACATCTAAAGAGTGAGTGACAGAAAAAAAACCTCAGGGAAGAGTAAGGAGGAACCATGAACTGGCACCCTGAAAGGCAAAGGTTATACAAAAATAGTGGCCAGAGCAATTTTTAGAGGATGCCCAAAGTCGGGACTGGGGAGATGGAGAGGCCAGCAAGGGTGGGAGGTAAGAAAGAGGAAGTTTGCCCTTAGGAGCAGCTTTGCTATGGAAGGCAGGACAATTCACTGAACCCAGAGCTGGCCAGTTCAGCTAGACTGGCTGGCCAGTAAGCCCTATGGATCTCCTATCTCCCCAGAACTACAATTACAGGTGTGTGCCACCATGTCCAGCTGTTTACCTAGATTCTGGGGGTCCAAATGAACTCAGGTCCTCACGCTCCCATGGTAAGCATTTTACTGAATAAGCCCTCTCAACAGCTTGTTTTTATTTTTAGTTTAACAGTGACATGAACCATCGGATATAGTTTGACAGATTGGGAGCTAAACAAAGGATGGTTGTGAAATGGCTTGTACATGTATATAACTTGTAATATATAATATCCATAACTTATAGTCATATATAATATACATAACTTATAGTCAAGAGGTATTTGTGAAAAAATAAGCATGAACAAAACAGAAAGTACTTTCCCCCTCTGTGGCTATTATGGTTTGAAGATGAGATGTCCCTCACACGCTCCTGTGCTGAACACTTGGTCTCCAGCTGATAGTGTGGAAACTAGCAGGTGGGGTCTAGCTGACCATTGTGGGGGTGGGTACTTGAAGTCAGACCCAGTCTAATCCCTGTCCGGCTCTGCTTCCCAGGCACCATGAGGTTCACACCTCTCCATCATGACACTGCCTTACCACAGGCACACAGTCATGAGGCCACAGCTCCTGGGATTAAAGCCACACACTGTGAGCTGAACTAGACCTTTTTCCTCTTGCCTTCTCACAGCAGTTACCATTCACCTAACACAGATGTGCTGGTGACCAAGCGCTCTACCAATGAAGACACAGAAATTCTCTGGCACCATTAAAAAAAAATCATTTTAAAGGTATCTTGAGCCTGGCGGGTAGTTAGGTTCATGCTTAGCAAGTAGGAAAACTTGGATCCATTTTGGAGGAGGGGAGTGAGCATCAAGTCATTCAAACGCATACCCAAGTGTGAAAGAAAGCCTTTTACTTCACTGAATGTGTGGTCATGTTGGTACATTTGCAATCATTTGTTTTACACTGCAACAGCAATAATTTTAGTATACCCGATTGGCTAAAATCTAGAGAAAACAGACTTTTATAACCACTAATAACTGGGAACCAAATGATATAATCTACAACACATTTCAAAAGAAAAGTACACAGTGTGCTTGGTTAAGCGGCCAGAGGACTGTTTTCACAGTAGTGAATGTTTACATGTGCCGAGTGCCACTAGAAGCCTTCACACTGCCATCCCACTGAATCCTTGCAGTGAGTGATATCATTATCATCTCCATTTACCAACTGAGCGACCAAGGCTAAGAAGGGTGAGGTGATAAGTGGGAAAGAAGCATCCAGTCTCAAGCCACACCGTGTCTTCCAGGGACAGAGGTGCTGGCACTCTCACTGAAACTGTTAAGTTTAGTGAGTAGGCAGAAAGAGAGAGAAGTACACACACACACAAAATATACATACTGACAAGACTTTAGCTTAAAGCTGTATCAGTGTTAAGAAAAGAAGCTGGGCAGTGGTGGGGCATGCCTTTAATCCCAGCACTCAGGAGGCAGAAGCAGGAGGATCTCTGAGTTTGAGGGCAGCCTGGGCTACAGAGGGAGTTCTACAGAGGGCTACACAGAGAAACCCTGTCTCAAAAAAGGTTTAAAAAAGGGAGGGAGGGAGGGAAGGAAGGAAGGAGGGAGAGAGGGAGGGGAGGAAGGAAGGAAGGAAGGAGGGAGGGAGGGAGGGAGGGAGGGAGGGAGGGAGGGAGGAGAAAATCTATCATTAACCAATATTATTTCCATGAGCAAGTTGGAAAATCTGTTTTAACATGCTCCAGCATACATTGGTGCTATCTGAAGACCTCATTTTCCCTTGAAAGCAAAAATCCCTTGCTTCAAACTCAACTAAAGTATATTACCCAAAGGAGCTATACTCCAATGCCAGCTTTGAGTATTTTTAAAATTTCTTAAGCAAAACTAAGTCTTACAGGTTGCTTTATATTAATCAAAATTGAGGCCATGAAATGTCAGGTTAATAAAGATTAATACACTTGTTCCATTCTTTAAAAATAACCACCCTTTCCCCACCAGGACCAGCAGCATGATAGACTAAGAATATTAATAGAGTTCCTATGTTTTGACAGCCAGTCACACAGAGACAACTAAGTACTCTGGATTAGATTACCCACAGAAATGAGAAAAGACAAGGAATCCAATGCATGATAACAAAACAGGAACTGCTTGGTGTGGTGGTACATGCCTGTAGTCCCATGACCCAGGAGGCTGAGGCAAGAGCACTACCATGAGCTCTAGGTTAGCCTAGACTACATAGTAAGTTCCAGACCAGCCTGGGATAAAGTGTATAAGAAAATAAAACTAAAAAGGGAAGTAAGGAAGAGAGAGGAAAAAAAGAAGAGGGAGAAAGGAAGGGAGGGAGAAAGGAAGGGAACAAAGGACCAGAGGTAAAAAAAAAACCACCTATAATCAAGGCCTTAGGTTCTATAGTAAGTGCCTTAGCTACTTTTCTATTGTCAAAACACCATGACCAATTTGGGGGTCACAGTTCCAGAGGGTTAGAGTTCATGACCATCATGGCGGGGAGCACAGCAGCAAGCAGGCAGGCATGGCAATGGAGCAGTATCCGATAACTTACATCTTGATCTACAAGCACAAG